GCCTCATCTTTCTCCCGCGGAGCGGCTGGTAGTTTCGAACCGCTGACCTTAAGGTTCGCAGCCCGATTCGTAACCACTACGCTACCAGAGCTCCTTTACTAAAACTTAATTTGAATGAGAAAAAAAAAAAAAAACCTTTACAGGAGCAACCTCATCTTTCTCCTATGGAGTGACTAATGGGCTTGAATCGTGCAGTTAGCAGCAACTACTTAATACACCAGAAGCCCCAGTAGTGTAGTGGATTATAAACTGGGCTGCTAACTGCAAGCTCAGCAGTTCAAATCTACCAGTCTCTCCACAGGAGAAAGATGAGGATTTCTGCTCCTGTAAAGATTCACAGTCTTGGAAAACCTGTACAGGGTCGCTATGAGTCGGAATGGACTCAGTGGTATAAAACCACCAGCTGCTTACCACATAGTACCACTAGGACTTCCTGATTCCATATAGATAGTTCTTACAAGAGCATAATGCTCAAGGCAAACATTTTTTTAGTGATGTAACAACATCAAGTTTTGGTGCTGTCAAATTGATAATGACTCATAGGCATCCTACATACAGTAGAATAAAACGTTGTTTGGTCATGCTCCATCTTCACAATCTTTGCTATTCTTGAGCCCATTGTTTAACCCACTGTGTCAATACATCTAGTTGAGGGTCTTCCTCTTGTTCACTGGCCCTCCACCTTACCAACTGTGACGTCCTTCAGGGACTGATACTTTCTGTTTGTATGTCCAAAGTACGTGAGACAAAGTCTCACCATCCTCATTTCTAAAGAACATTCTGGCTGTACTTCTTCCCAGGTAGATTTGTTCACGCTTCTGACAGTAAATTTAATATCCTTTTCATAAATAACATGATCCTATATAGAAAGAATTGCTACCAATCATAGAAACATTCATTAAACAAAAATTTCTTGACATATCCTCTGCCTAGGTCTGTGCACTTCTAAAAGCAGTGTTTCTATCTCTTTAACCCTTCCTAGAAGAATTCTGCACTCTTTGAATTACACCATATCAAAGCGGCAGTTCTGGCATCCTAAAGGGACTCAAGTCATCTTCCTTTACA